TCTATCAATCTAAACGGCAATTACAATCCTCTTTTTACTAAATTACTGATTCATGCAGTAAAGCAACGAAAATTTCTTATAACCAAGTTAGAATATATTCTCCTCTTCATACCTCTCTTGTCACGTAAAAAAAAACACAAGAAGATGAGAGTATATTTCGTTCCAAGTTTCTGTAAAATTCTCCCCCCAAAACTGCATGCATTGTTATTGCACATGAGAGAGGACATGCATCACCTAGCATGCATATTCCTTAAATTTGGCTACAGTTACGGGCATAGTGACAACACATGGTTAGGCTATATTGCTGCGGTGCATATAAATATTCTATGTATCTTTGTAGTAACCGACCTAAGTTTAGCCATATGGGTGACCTAAAATTCTGTTTGTTTGCATCTCATGTTTTGGACTTGTTCTACAGGAGTTGGTGGTTAGTAGGCACCGCCAAAGGTCTCAGTATATACGTAAGTTAGGCAAATTTGGACCAAAAATATGAAGTTTTGGACTTGCCAATGAAAGTCTAATTACGGGAAGAAAAATGTTAGGCAAGATTAAGAAAAACACCCATGAATAATAATGTGAACGACAATTGACTGCGGCACAAGAAATACATATATGGTTGGATTTTGGTGATTTTTGATAGCCATGATCTTTAAGATAAGACATAAAAGACAAAATGTTAGATACTTGAAATACATTAATTACAAAGTGAATCCTACAAAAACTTAGATCAAAATGTGTATCTCTAAATCCGAATTAATATATAATTGGTGTTATCTACATACTCTTTTTACCTCTCATAGAGTTGATTCGTATAAGCGTCACCTCTAATTAAATTTTAACGATCCAAACCGTCTATTTTGTAAGTCTTGATTCATAGGTCTTACTTACAAAAATTCAATACAATTCGAAACCATTTTCTCATTTACTTTGTCAATTCCTACCTTTTTTAGAACATAATGTTCTTCAATTTTCTTTGAACTCAATGAAAAGCCTCCAATATTTCTAGTTTGATTAATATTTTGCAAATATGATCTATAAGATGCAACTTGAAAAATAAACGATTTAACCATTGAAGTCTAATGTAGTATGAGCCCACAACAAATCTCCATTTAAAAAAAAAATGGAGAAGGATGTGTGTGTATCGACTATGTACGTATGTCTCTATATTATTCGTTTCAAGTTTGGTAGGCCTACTTCGTATAAAGTTTGAAGTCCAAGCAGTCCTTTCGGAGAATCCAATGGAACATGGCTTGTGCCAATTGCAACCGTAGTTAGTTAGCTATCCAAAAGTCAAAATGGGCACCAATAGCACACATCCTTCACAAAGTTAAGCTGTCTAATTACCTGACGAATCTCTAAAAGATTCCTAATTATTAATTATATGTTCGATCTAATTACCTGAAGAAAGAGATGAAGAAAGAGATATACTGTTGGTTTAATTACCTGATGAAAAAATATACTGTTGGTTTAATTACCTGACGAAAGAAATATGATTTAATTTCTCTTCCGTCGGAGGGCTTGACCTAATCATAGCCCCTAAATTTAATTATACAATTTGGAATAAGAAAATCCTATAGTTAATCATTGCGTGTTGCATAAAATGTGTTCAGGGCAGTGTTTCATGTGTACTTTTCCTTGATTATATTTTAAAGGCCTAATGATTTTTATGTTTGAGAGTTTGGCTGTCTGCACAACTTTTTGAATGCAGAGAGAGATCAAGGTCATTGCCGTAGCAATATGTTATGAGAAATTAATTAAGAGAACTCTATTAAAATGAGATTTTTTATGAATTTTTTGTTATTTTTGACATAATATTTTATAATGTTAGTATTAAAATTAAAGTTAAAATGTAAAGTGTTAAAGAGTTCATGAACAATTCTACTTTTATGAGAGCCTCGTTAGCATTATCCTTTCTCTATATGTGACTATGCGGCCAAGTCACTTAAATGGATATCAAACCAATTATAAGCCGAATCGCATGCCACAGTGACAATACATTTTACAACGGGACTACGCTGAAAATTTTCCTGTACATTTTGGCAAAGACGATGATGATGGCATCCTACAACGTTGAGGACAACAACTTGCATACAATGGACTCAGTCATTTAGCATTGTGTTCACACAACTATAAGATGTTATGTATTTATTCTAATCCGACTATAGCTCAATCTAATTTAGTGTGAGTGTTGTCACAGTCATGTAGATTAACCGAAATTTTTCTGCTCATCTTGTATTACTCGTCTGATATTTTGTAAATTGAGATACCCACATTTATCCCAATTGGCTTGGAGTTGCCTAGTGGCTGCACTGTGTCATGACCTAATGAGGGGTACGAATCAACTAGTTGAAATTGTTAAGGTATCGATTGATGAAACCAAACTAACTACAGTCCTGCTATGCTACATTGTGTTGATTACTAGTCCAGAATCTCTTTCACTATCACCCGCCGCAATGGCTTTCTTATGACTTGTGATATGGTCCGACATAGACATCCACCACCATCATCACTCCCACCATTGTGCTTTTGGGCACCATGAAAGTCCAAGACAACCCTTCACAAAGGATCAAAGTTCTTCGAGGCTTTCATGTGGCTCTGAATTAAATTACATGGATGGCGTGCCAACAAAAGTTTAGACTTATAAGGAGAGATAACTTCTTATGTGTATCTGAAGCATGCAGAGAGGCGAATTCACTTTGGGACAGAATGGGTCAGCTAACATCCAAAACTTAGAAATTCTTTATGGAATAATTGAGTACTACATTTTGAAAATATGATATGCATTTGAATGGCCTCTAACTATTCGACGAATTGCCTATGCGGCACCAGGCAGGGGAGTTGCTAGCTTCATGCCTTCTTTGCTATGGGCATCTTTCAATATGCTCACTCGATATATGTTAGCATCTCTCGGCATGTTCGCTCAAAGATTATTAACATCAGTTGATATGCTTGTTTGAAAGTTGTTAACGTCTGTCGACAGACGTGTAACTTGAAAAATGACCTCAAATTTGCCAAAACTCGATGAAATACCAATTTTCATACTAGAAGCATGTCTAAACCAACTTACAAAAGCAGGCCACTTTTTTGTACTTGTGCATAATATAACGATTACGGTACGAAAACTTGTAATCAATTAAGTATATATAAAATTTATTTAAACAATCGACACATCTACATCGATCAATTTTAAACGTAATTTTATAGTTGTACAAGGATAATATATGAATTTGATGATTAGCCTCAACAACAACTGAGAACTCAGTTGATGATGTTTAGTGGTATCCAACTTTGTCAACAAATTCGGAAGCTGATTCCCAGCTCAGTGTCAATAATGCATCTTTAAACAAAGCTTTAAGTTTGTTTTTAAGTAGCTTAATTCTGTATGGAAAACAGAGAATGCATGTGCCAATTATGAAACGATGACGTACCTTACTGAATGGCTCCACACACTAAAATTATATAAAATTATCTCCACAAATTCAAGGTTGGTGAGATACCCTATAATATAAAGTATATATGAGCACTTATGTGAAATTTTACAAATCATGAGATGGGTTATAAAAAATTAAAAAAATACGTTTATCAACATTTAGTTCACTATATAATTTATAAAATATAGTTTAAATAATTGGTTTCTCTAGCAAATACACTGAGTAGGATTCTCTTTTCTTCTAAATTCTCTCCTCTCTCACTTTCTTCTTTTTCTTTCCCTCTCTATAAAGAAGTTAACACAAGACATTGATGTAGTTTAATTATGGCCATTCAAATAAAAAGTCTCAATAATATTAGAAACTGAACCTTCCTCATATAAATCGCATATTATTCTATTATCTCTATGGCCAATGAATGTGAATCTTATAATGGTGTAATTTGATTAAAATGGTCTTTAATCATTATAGTTTGACATTCTTTAAAGCAACATTTTTTTTCTTTTATACACGCATAAGTTAGGTTGCTCTATTCAAGTTTACGTTCAAGATTAACAACAATTTGAATAGAGTTGTTTGGCAACTTATCTATACGTGCATATTCCAAAAACATGTTAATCACACTCATTAATGTGAAAGTTCCATTAGCTTGATAGTTATGCCAAAGTTTCTTCGCAACACCAAAAAAGTCTAAAATATTAGTTTGGCTCGTACTCTGCGATCAATGAATTAACGGTCAAAAATCTCAACATATATTAAACCATTTGACTCATGTACTCATGTGTATGACAAAAGAGTCAAAAGGATTTAGGTTTGGGTTGGGTTTCGGTTTCAATATTTGAAAATTTTCTCAGAAACCAAACGCTTCTAAAGCCTAAAGCTAACTGAAAATCACTGTCATTGTTACAGCTTTCCGATCCCGATTCTCGAGAATACCAAGTATAAACCTCCATTTTCTGATCACAATTTTGGGTCTGCGGACCACTTAACTGATAAAAGTCCAACACCAAACTCATCTCTTCCCAACACTTTCTGCATCAAATCCTTACACCTCTGTCTCTCAGGTTGCCTGGCGTCAGCCAGCACCTCTCACCTCACTTCACCACCACAGTAACAAAGTTTATGACTTCATTTAAGCTAACGCTATTCCTACTTCATTTTACTTTTTACACATTTTTATTAAATTTTATTTAATAATTTTCTTCAACTCATTAGATTTAACGGTTAGAAATTAAAAAAAATGTATGACAGATAAAAAAATATGAAGAATAATTTTAGCTTTATTTTATACACTAAATTGACTAGACCATTATGCTCTTTTTCTTTGTTAATCTTAAATTTATTTTTTATAATTTAGTGTAGAATATTGCTCGAATTTAAGATATCATTTTTATGAAAACAGTGCAAATCTCCGAGAAAGAGTAAAAAGAAAAGAAGAAAGTAAAAAAAAAGGACTTAAACAGAAACCGAAAACCTCGTCTGCTTCCCACGAGAGGGATTTTCCATAAATGAAAAGCTCCCGACCCCAGGACTCAATTTTTTTCCCTTTCTTTCATGTCATATCATGCATCTCTTGCAATTGGCAGCTAGTAGAGAGAGAAAGTGAGAGGATAGAGAGAGGGCTTTAAGCCTTTAACCCCTTCTCACTCTTCTCGGCTGAACTCCACCCCACGACAGCCAGCTCATATTTCGTTCATTCATATTTCATTCAACCCCATTACCAACAAACCTCTCACCCTATCTCTCTCATCTCACCCACACTTTCTCTCTCTATCAAACTCTTAACGCTTCCATTTTTTTCCTCATTATTTTTATCTTTCTACCTACAAAAAGACTACAACTTTCAACGTTTTCCTCCACCAGATCTCTCGGAATAAATCCATGGAGATGCGTGCCCCTTTGAAACCCTTTTAATTACCGCACTCGCTTCTCCGTCCCTCCCTCCCTCTCTTTCTTTGTGGTTTTCTGGGCTTATTTTTCTCGAGTTTTACCTCTTGGTCCCAATACAGCCCAGAAAACCCATGTTATTTTCTTTGATTTTCTTCCGTTTTCTCTGACTCTTCCTTCGATTTAACCTTCTGGGATTTCTGGGTTTCTATCAAGACTTCACCTTTTTAGAGAGAATCGAGAAAATGGCGAATGGTGTAGAGAGAGAAAGTGGGTTGGTGCTGTTTAGCGACGATGAGCTGAGAGAGATGAGCGGGGTGAATAGAGGGTCGGACCATATAGAGGTCACGTGCGGCTGCACCAGCCACAGATACGGTGATGCAGTCGGGAGGCTTAGGGTTTTCGTTAATGGTGACCTCGAAATCACCTGCGAGTGCACCCCTGGCTGTCAGGAAGGTCTTTCTCTCTGCCGTTTTGATCTCTCTCTCTTTGTTGCTTTTTGGGAAAAAGGGTTTTTATTTTTAATGCATGTTGTTTGCGTTTTGAGCTTCTTTTAGTTCATCGTAGACTGGGTTTTGACGTTGATGGCTGCAGTCTGTCTGTCCCTTTCCGGTCTGCCTAATCTGTTGGGTTTGTATTTGATGACGACGAGCATTTGCTTTTGCTTTTGCTTTGCAAGCTGTTCACTGTATTTTTGCTGGGTATACAGTTGAGGTGTATGTTGTTTTGTCTCACTGAATGCCTTCTCCTTGCTGGGTATACAGTAGCTATATGTTTGCCTACTCTTCATATGGTGGAGTCCAGATGGTTTCTGGCTTGTTTGTGGAGTAAAGAGCTTTTCTTTAAGTTGGTGTATTGACAATGAAACCTACATTGCCAGTTTCGTGGCGATCACAACTTCGTAATTAGATTGTTTTTCGAGGTTTTGCTTTCGAATGTGTCCTGAGTTCTGTTCTTTCTCTTCTACAGAGTAAGATGTCGTAAAGTTGCATAGCTTGGTTTAGTCATTGTAGGGTTTTGCATATCTTTCTTTCGTCTTTCATGTGTTTATGTGGTTGATGGAATTGCTTTTTCATCCTTGGATTACGGGCTTTGATAATCCCATGTGTTATTTCATGGGCAACCAAGCTTATAACTTTTCAAGATTGGCTATGTTATTTGATGTCCCTATGCGCATCTGGTTTTGTTTCTACAGTGCTATTATCAATAAGCACTGAGTATATGGCATGGAGATTTTAAGATTACCTCTTTTCTGACAACCGAGGATCCGAAAGTAGTGCATCTTCTTTCACTTAGTTGCAGATATTGGGTGTGCCATATCTCATTTTTTCCATAATATAGTTCATGAGAGAATTCCACAAGATTGCTTCCCGAATCTGAATTTGGCACACACCCGAAACATTAGAGCATCTCATAACAAGACTCTTATGTCTTTATGTACATTGAATTGCCAGTATCTTTTTCTCATATAAAACAACTTAGTCCATCAAGGACAGTTGTTCTGTCTGTAGAGCAAATTGCTGCCTTTAAAGACGTAGTCTTGACCAATAATGGAGACCACCTGCTTACAACCTTTGTGTACTGTCAGCCTTTTTTGTGGTTCTAACAAGTTAGAGGTGAAAACATTAGTATTTATTTATGTAGTTCGTTTGATCTGTTGATAGTGTCAAGAAAAAATGGTAGAAGTTGGTATGCATGCGATTTAAGTATTGTTTAACTACTTTAATGGTCATGACGAAAGCTCAGATTGAGGTTTCGTGCTTATAACCATCTTATTTATTTCCCTTTGTATTTCAATCACTAGGAAAACTGACTCCTGCCGCATTTGAGAAACATTCTGGAAGAGAGACAGCTAGAAAATGGAAAAATAATGTTTGGATAATTGATAATGGAAAGAAGGTTCCGCTGTGTAAAACAGTGCTGCTCAAGTACCATAATGAGGCATCAAAAAGTGCTAATGGTTCCCACAGGTCCAACAATGGACGTGTTTGTCACCACGATGAGTTTGTTTCCTGCACTAGATGCAACAAGGAGCGCAGGTTTCGCCTCCGGACAAAAGAGGAGTGTCGGGTTCACCATGACGCTTTGGCTGATGTGAATTGGAAATGTGCTGATCTGCCGTATGACAAGTATGTTCCTCTCTTACACTGAACAAATACTTTTACTTGGTATTGATCAAGTTGTTTTCTCTCTTATACTAGAAGCCATGAACCATTCATGAACCATGCACTAATTCTAGTTTTATCTCACAGATGTGAAATATATGAATAACCTATTTGTTCCATCCTTCTGCTAATGGATTTATAGTTTAGTATGGTTTTTAATATGCTGTGCTATCAACAGATTTTTGAACAATTGAATGTTGTAGCTTCTATTGTGATTGCCTATTTTATGTTTATGTATACTGTTCATCCAGCTTCATGGATTTAGTTGGGAATTAGCCGGACTAGCTGTTTAAAGATGGATTGCAGCATCGTTTCTGGAAAATTGACTCTAGCTATTACTCTCTAGGGTAGAGTAGATGATGTTTGTGCTTATAGACACATCTTCTAATGGTAGTTTGTTGCCATTCATCTCAAGGATAAGAAATAGGCATTTAAGAAAGCACTAGGAAGCAGATAGGGACTTTTCGATTGGGGGAGTAAAATGTAAATAACGATGTTATTCCATTACATACACCAGTAGGCATTTTAGCTTAAGACGGTAGGTTGTAAACCAGTGCGCACACCCAGTTGCAAAACACTGTTGATATGTTGTCGTTAACGTATATGCTTAAAGGTTCAGTAATCATAATGTGAACGGTTGTTTCTGTACTTCAGGATAACTTGTGATGATGAAGAAGAACGAGCAAGTCGAAGGGTATACAGAGGCTGCACCCGTTCTCCGACATGCCAAGGCTGTACTTCTTGTGTGTGCTTTGGGTGCGATATCTGTCGTTTCTCGGATTGCGGCTGCCAGACTTGCACCGACTTCACAAGGAATGCTAAAACTTGAATTACCAGTCTGCAGTCCTGATATTCTCTTTTGATCATATGGGTTACTTGTACCCTTATCGCCCCATTGGAAGCACCTCCACCAGCCCCACATTGGAAAACCTTCAAGGGGTAAAAAAAAAAAAGGATTAAAAAGCAACTTCCAATGACTGTTTCCCAAGTTCAATGTCTCTTGTTCTCTTGACTGATTAGAACCTTCTAATTTGATAATTTATTCTCATCATTAATATTTTGTTACTTGGTGATATGTCTGTTATATTTTCTTTAAATTATTTAAGATTCCTTGAATTGATGTATACTTCGATTGATATGCCCCTTTTTTACTATCACTTGAACCTATCCGCCCAAGACACAGAGATCCTTGCATTCAAGTACTGTACGTGTTTGTAACGTACTCTTACCGACTAACAAGAGTATAAGTTTGGTGAAGTTTACCGCTATACGTCGTCTCTTGTTCAATAATGCATTGTCATGTGCAAGTTTTTCTTCGCATGGCAATGTGTTATTGGATTGAGACATTATTTGGCAGTGAACTGGTTCCATTGCTCTTATAAATTTGGGGCTTGAAAATTTGCTTCCACTCCACAATAAAATGAGTACGCTTGAGAGGATTAACTGAAAATTTTCTACGTTTTTACTAAACCAAAATTTGTCAATGTTAAAAATTAACTGCAACCAATGCGGATGTGGCATTTTAAATGGAGAACATGTTCGCCATCTGTTCTTCCATATACTGGACTAGCAAATACAAAAACGATAAAAACCGAAAACAAAAAACCAAGCAATTTCGAACGATGGCTCTTCTCAAAGCCTATTTGTAAATTCAGTGTGCTTGGTGCATCAGAGCATGCCATAACTTTCACCTCGATTGCTGCCTACCTCTTCCCCTTCCAAAATGACGACCCCCTCGATGGGAGGGTCTCCTTCCACGATTAGAAGATGCGCCCCGACTAAATTGCTGGCTGTCCAAGTTGCCTGCATTTGCAACAGGTAGTGGCATATTCTGGTTCTGTTCGGCACGTAATCCGTTTGACGGCATTCCTTGTTCTGCATTGAACATCGGGTGAGTAGGTTGGCCCTGTAATCCCATCCCGAATGCGTTTTGGTTGAAACCAAGTTGACCCACCAGCCCCTGTGGATACATAGGTCCTGCAAAGGCATTGAATTGTTGGCCTGGAATGGGTTGGCCCTGTAAACCGATCCCAAATGCTGCCTGATTGAAGCCGTGTTGACCCACCATCCCTTGTGAATATGCAGGTCCTGTAAAGGCGTTCAACTGTTGACCTGGTAGGACAACACCAGCCTGCTGATAGAACGGCATTCTGTTTGGAATAGACATTTGATACGAATATTGAGGATTATACTGTGGAAGACATGGCAAACCATTATTTATAACTCCGTTAGGGAAGGATGTATTTTGTGGTTGAAACGACGTTCCATTTGTCCACAGTCCATTTGAAGTTGCGTTGATACGAGCAGGCGGTGTAGGAGCTGGAAATGGTGGAACTGATCCAGTCCCACTAGCCAATCCTTGTGATACTGCAGAAGAAGATGGTGCAGCTGGAGAGAAATGAAGATGGTGTTGATTGGGAGGCTGCTGACCTGCATCCGTTGGTGCTTTCTGGGGTGAAGGTTGACCACTATTCCAAGGTCCCGGCTTATTTTTACCCTTCTTTCTGTTGTATTTCTTGTTGCCAGCATTTTGGTTACTCATTCCCCTCTTTGACATTTTTTGCATCCTCCTGTATTCAGCCTCTTTCTCATCATCTGAAAATTCTGCCTCATCAGATATCTCTTCATCATTTGCACCAGATGCATCATAACCCTTTTTGTAAACATCCTTGTTATTCAGCACATGATCTGCAAACTCCGGAACAAAAGAGATCAAAGTGCCCGCTTGTATTCCACTAGGGATTTCACTTTCTGAATTGTATCGCACCACATAATAAGGCTGTATCACAGGTCCAAAGATTTCATCTATCAATCCCAACGGAGATCTGCTTTCGGTTATCCACAAAATTGAACCCTCGTTTAGAGGGTTGTGCTTCTTGACCCCTTCTACAATGACTTGGGTACCAAGAACCTGTAAAAATTCAAATTGTCATCAAACTGATGTAATTGCAGGCATCAATACCACAAATCACAATATGCACCTTCTGGAGTGTCACCTAGATTCTAAATTTTCAATGACACCAGAGATTGATGAAGTTCAAGTTCTGATACAGGCTTACTTGCACAATCAAGATAAAAAAAATAGGTTTCACATCATTATGAACTTACCGATAAGACAACTCCCACAGGTTGCGTCTGATGATGTGGTTGCAAGGTCACCTCCACTGGAGGAATTGGGGGAAGCACCTGCAAAATTCAAAACAATCCTGTCAAGCTATTTTGAAGCAGTAATATATACTCCAGAAAGCTAATTTCACTAAAGGTTTTGCAAGCATTGCATGTTTTAAGATATCAAAGAATCGAGAAAATGGCAAACAGAAATATAGAAAGCTAATTCCACCGAGGATTTGCAAGTAATGCAACTTCAGAAAAAGTTGATTTTTTGTCATGCGTTATTAATTCCAGAGCAACCAAACAAGCTACTTAATTCACTAAAGGGTATTCTATATATCAGACCAAAATACCGAAAATCCAGAATACGACTTTCTTGCTTGCTTAAAGATGATCCTAAGTACCCTTTCTTTTCCCCGATCCCAAACCAAAGTCGGAAAAGCCTCCACCATAATAGTTGAGGTTGGCTATCTTCTTATCTGCACTAAAACGAAATAAACCTGTACTCCTCACCTAAGCCTATCAGTAACGACCTAACAAAACCGAATAGGGACTCTATGTCTACCTCTCACCAATTGTTCATAGCAGCTTATCAATTGAAATATGCACAAATCCATTAAGTTCTCCTAAGTAAGAGAGAATTGAACAATTCTTTTTTTTTTTCTTTCTTTCTTTTACCTCAAGCTCATTCTTGGACCTAATGGGTCCTTTCAGATCTCCAAGATCATCCTCATCGCCGTCTCCCTCATCAAAAGTTTCAGCATCGGTCCAAGCAACCAATTCATCTTCATCTTCATCATCAACAATTTCATTATCTTTATCGAATGTCGTATCTTCCTTCTCCCCTCCATCAGCATCCCTTATCTCACCTTCTTCCATTTCACCACCCTCGTCGCTCTCCTCCACCTCCACATTCATTTCCCCTTTCCTGTTTTCCTTTTCATCATCATCACTGCTGTCATCATCACTAGAGCTACCACTCTCAGACGACGATGATGATGACTCCGAACTCTCACTCTCAGACTCCGAGCTTTCACTCTCGGACTCACTATTCCCTGCTCCACTCTTCCCACCATTCCCACTCACCATTTCACTCCCCACCCTAGTTTCGCCTTCGAACTTCGACTTTGAAACCTCACTCTCATTCTCATTACTCACCGGTTCCATTTCCACGATATCACGCGTCACTATTTCACTCTTCACACCATTCCGACCATCAAGAACCGAACTTTCTTCACACCCTCCAAGCAAATTAACCTTTCCCAACTCTTCCGCAATCGAACAACCCGAATTCTCCAACAGTTGACCCTCCAACTTCACCACACAACCAGACCCAAAATCAATCGGCACAGATCCACCACCTGCCGGCTCTAACCCACCTCCAAGATACTCTGCTTCAACAGCATCAGCCTTAACCTGCCCTGTTTCGGCCATATCAGAACTCGGAATATTCTTGAACCAATCCTCTATGGAATCAAAATCCAAGAACGAATCTGCAACCGACAAGTCTCGGGGATCAACGGGATCGGGCGGGTCCTTTAAATTCTTGGGCTTTGAAGCTCGTTCGAGGTCTTCGAGTGTTAGCTGAGGGATGAGCCCTACCATCTGTGAGCGTACGAAAGAAGGAATTGGGTGGGGAAAATAGACGAGTGAAAATCCATGGGAACTGAAAAGCAGAGCGAATTTATAGAATTTGGGGTTTTGGGTTGGAAACGGTCAGGTGCGCTTAAACCCTAGCTAGGGTTTTGAACATTTTTCAGACGAGAGTATAAAGATGGCCGAGTGTTCGGTAAATTAGTTATTTAAACAAAAAATAAAAAATTTGAAGGAGCTCCTACGACAACGTTTCATGGTTTCGTAAAAAGCCAAAGTCCTAGATTAAAATATGGGTTAAAGAATGAGAGCCTTAGACACACAAACAAAACTTATATTTCATAAAATTTCACTAGTTTTGAGTTATTTTATGGAGAGACAAAAGTTTAAACCCGAACAAACCAAATCCAAAAACGAACAAACTAGAATTTTGAAATTTCAATTCATGTCCCTGATATACCTGTTACTTAACAAAGTCTATTTAGTATAAACGTCAACGAATTTACACCCCTTACCATTAGCCCAATCCTTCTTCGACCATTGTTGCAAGAGCACTTTCAAAACTATATGTAGAATCAGTTTGTATTATTTATCAGTAAAATCAATTTAACTATTTGTAGAATCAGTTTTGTGTACTTTATTAGTATAATTAGTTTGCTCTACCAAAAGCAAGCATCCACCGAAGCAATTTTCTTTCTTTTTATTGGCAACAAAGCATAAATCCGAAAGAAAATGAAAGATTACATACATAAGAACATCACAAAATCACGAGACCTTAGCTATATCTGCAACTAACAACCAGCAACAAAGAGGAGCTTGCTGCAAAAGATTGAACTCAAATTGTATGATAACCCAAATGAGCCAAATCTTAGTGAGAAAATTCCTTTCGTGAGAAAATTCCTTTCATGATAAATATGTCAAATTTCACAAGGCTAACTTTAGTGCATAAGAGCACGACAATTTAATACTAAACTTCTCATAGGACAGTGATCCAATTTGCATTTAAAATCAACTGTAGTGAAAATGTAGAATCAATTTTCTTCATATCCATTTGATTCCATCCACAACTTGCATCATCAATTTTCTTCATAAGGCGTCATTTTATCTAAAGCATCCACCGAAAACCAACCTTTTAGATCAAATTTAAACCATGTGTTGTGTCACCAATAGGAAATAAATATGTTAATTAACACTTAAATAATAATTTCATCATCCACAAACATGTCATATGATTTACATAATACAATTTAAAATAGATGGTCTTCCTAGCATTTCTCTTTCCAAATTCATGCTTGTATATTCCAAGAAATAATCTTGCATCATTGATTCCAAAAGACTTCTCCAAACACCCCATTTAAATTAGTGTGATGACAATCTTAAACACCCATTTTCATTTTGCGATGCCTTATTTAAAATGTACCGAACGAATCTATTGCCGATGTTTTTGTCCAATAATGCATTATTATGTGCAAGTTTCATCAATATGACAACGCATTATTAAACTGGAACACCTATACCTCATCAACTGTTTTATGGAGTCTCCACACACTTACCCACTATCAAAAGTCAAAAGATTAGTATGCATTTTCCTTATATATTTGGAGAAGTTTTTCTAGTGTGCCCGGAACACGGTTTATTATACCAAGTGTCATAATATAAATGATTGGAAATTTTTTTTGTCAAGTATCCAACGACTTATAATATAATAATTAGTGAGTTAGGCCATATTCACGGCACAACAAAAATATCTTGCATAGTATTTATTGCATACAGAAGGAGCCAGATTACGCTGAAAATGAGGGGCCATGTGAGTGAGTAGCACAAGGTTTATGGTTTTACTTTCACCCCTCAACCTAACACCAAACTTTGCCTTCATTTCATCTAACCGAATTTGAATGTCGACTTCCAAGTTCCAACTGGCCTCTGCCTTCACCTCTCTATCTCTACTTAAATTCCCCACCATGAACGCAACCACCCGCAAACCAAATATAAATACACCGATGCAATAAAACATAAAAAGAAAAATATTAACCAAATAAAGATTTGCTTATAGGTATCGCATTGGGTTAATTCGCGCAAGTATAGTCATTAGGTGGAGTTAGAGTCCGACGCATTGCACTAAGCGTAAGAAACTGTCTCTAAAACAAGAAGTTTAAGCGGCATTTGGTATGCTGGATTGAACTTGCGAGAATTGCACTGAGAAACGTGGATAACACAAAATAAAAGATATGAAAAGCAACCGTAACAAGCAAGAGAGTACGAATTACCCTTTTTGCTAGAAGAAACATGAAAAATAGCCAACAATCTATCGGTAAGATCGAAGAATAGCTCCACAGAAAGTACATATGATTGCTTTCCAAGATTTCCAATAAAACGGGACGTAGCAGAATCTTGTAGCGGTCTTCATGTCCGCCACGCTCGCTCCTCCGCCGCACCGCGAGCATATTCCCGCCGCCGGCTTGCTCCCCTGCACTTGCCTCTTCTGATCCACCAGAAAACAAAACACCACCATCCTCTTTCAGTTTCGGTTTTGGTTTCGGTTTTTAACTAACTTCTGAGGAGGGAAAAAAAAATTGTGAGATGTTGGCTTTGCAGCTGAAAATTAAGAAATGAAAATTTCCTTATATATGCATCAGACAAGTTATACATCGAGCAAGTTTTGTTTGCATTGCGTCGCTTTTGACCGTTGGATGAGTGGGGGATGACGGATCGTTCGGTTTTGGGGAAATAGAGTAGTTCGGGGTTTAAGCGTTACGGATCATGCAACAAGGCCACTATATTTTTGCCAGCTGGCTGGGAGTCATGGGAGATGAGATCTTGGCCGTACATGTGGTGGCTTGACGATGATCCGGTGATTAATATGGGGTCTGACGGTGAATATGTGGGTGGCAGTTAGTAGGTCTTTCGGTTGGCCGAGTTAAATGTTCAAATCCAACGGCCATCCGTCTTCCAAGTGGGAAAAAAATGGAGTTGACTTTTGTTTGGCTGCTGAGAAAATTGGAAAGGAAAATTGACTTTACACATGAGGCGGTTGGAAACATTATTAATGTGTCTAATGATCCATCCTTTCAATTAAATGACTTATTAGGTCAAATGTAGCAACTCACAACTAAAAAATGATGTCCATTTTAATTTTATGGTGTCATCAAATTGCATTTATAACTTTCGTTATAAAATCAATTTAACCAAGTGAGAAAGATGGTGATAGAAGAACACATTTTACCCTCATGTGGAAAATTGCTATCGCACTCAATTTTCTTGTTATCATTGACGTTTCAGTCGAGTGATGTTTTCTTTTTCTTTTTGTGAGTTGAGGATTTTATGTTCGATTTTGATGAATGAATTATAATTGACTTATTAAGTTGGTAAACTAACATATGTATATATGTAATCTTATGTTCGACTTCAAGAGATTGAAGATATGCAAATGAAGGAAGCACACCAAGTGTATTTTTAAATTTACCAACATTTTTACCGAAAATTAGTTCCTAAAATATTTACAACAAAAGTATTTTCAGCTATTTTAAAAACAATCCGGAAAATCCATGGACGAAAAGAGTTTCCAAACGGCTATATATTTTCAAAAGGTCGTTTTCGCCGGTCGTCCCCAGTTTTTCATGAAGCTCGTCTTCAAACGCCATTGCAGCTCTCTCACCTCCTTCAATCTTCAAAACACCAAAACCCCATCACCCAAACAATCCAAAATCCTCCAACTCTGCAAGTTGGGCTTACTCCCCGATGCGATTAGGGTCCTCAACTCCATTGATTCCGGCGAAATCACCCTCAAACCGATCCTTTACGCTTCGCTCTTACAAACTTGCACCAAAGCCGTTTCATTCAACCATGGCCTCCAAGTACATGCCCATGTCGTTAAGTCCGGCCTTGAAACCGATCGGTTCGTTGGGAACAGCTTGCTTGCTCTGTATTTCAAGTTGGTTCCGAATATGTCCGAGACTCGGAGAGTGTTTGATGGTCTTTTTGTTAAGGATGTGATTTCTTGGACGTCGATGATCACCGGGTACGTTCGGGCTGGAAAGCCCGGAAATTCGATTGAAACGTTTTGGGAGATGTTGAAATTTGGGATTGAGCCAAATGCCTTCACTTTGTCTGCTGTGGTTAAAGCTTGTTCGGAGATTGGGGACTTGAGGCTTGGCCTGTGCTTTCATGGAGTTGTTTTCCGGCGTGGGTTCGATTCGAATGATGTGATTGTTAGTGCTTTGATATACATGTACGGGAGGAATTGTAGGTCGGAAGATGCACGCCGGCTGTTTGATGAAATGTCTGAACCAGGTCCTATATGCTGGACATCAGTTATTTCTGCCTTCACGAGAAGCGATTTGTTTGAGGAAGCATTGGGGTTCTTTTATTTGATGCAGAGAAATCATGGGTTGTCGCCGGATGGTTTTACTTTTGGGACGGTATTGACTGCTTGTGGCAACTTGGGGAGGCTGAGGCAAGGTAGAGAAGTGCATGCTAAGGTCATTACATATGGACTTTATGGGAATGTGGTTGTTGAGAGTAGCTTGGTTGACATGTATGGAAAATGCGGGTCAGTAGAGAATGCCTGGCGTGTTTTTGATAGGATGTCAAAGAAGAACTCAGTTTCTAGGTCTGCATTACTAGGGGTGTACTGTCAAGCTGGAGACTTTGAATCTGTCGTTAAGCATTTCAGGGAAATGGAAGAGGCCGACCTCTACAGTTTTGGAACTGTCCTTCGTGCATGCGCAGGTTTGGCAGCTGTACAACACGGGAAAGAGGTTCACTGCCAGTATGTGAGAAGGTGTGGTTGGAGAGATGTTATTGTAGAATCAGCTTTAGTTAATCTTTACGCAAAGTGTGGCAACATAGATTTTGCCCGTAGAGTTTTCGTGAAGATGCCAGTTAGGAATTTGATAACATGGAACTCCATGATTTGTGGGTTTGCTCAGAATGGGGGAGGTGAAGAAGCTCTTAAAATATTTGATGAGATGATTAACGAGGGGATTAAGCCCGATTATATCAGCTTCATAGGGGTTCTTTTTGCTTGTAGTCATGCAGGTTTGGTTGACCAAGGACGAAGCAACTTTATTGCGATGACCAAAGATTACAGGATTAAACCTGGCATTGAACATTATTGTTGTATGGTAAATCTCCTAGGCCGTGCGGGACTACTGGAAGAAGCTGAGAATTTGATAGAGAATGCAGATTGCAGGAACGATTCGTCTCTTTGGGCAGTTCTTCTAGGTGCTAGCACAACCTGTTCGAACCTTGCTACCTCAGAGCGCATAGCGAAGAAAATGATAGAACTAGAACCGGACTACCATCTGAGTTACGTTCTTCTAGCTAATGTGTATAGAACAGCAGGCCGATGGAATGACGCCTCGGAGATTGGGAGGATAATGCAACAGAGAGGGGTTAAAAAGATGCCGGCTAAGAGCTGGATTGAATCCAACAGTCAATTAGGTTCTAATCTTCGTGTCGGAGACGTGGAAATTCGTAGTAGAATCAGATTTCCTGTTGTTTAGGGGTATTATCTGAAAGTCAATACATGTTCTTCCTCGCATTCCATGAAATATGAATGGTTCCCTTTTTGCCCTACTATATCGGAAAAGAAAATTGCGCTTAGTGTTGGGGTATTGAGATTTAATTCAATAAAATTGGGAAATACAGTACATGTTCCGCCGAACCTGGCCCATTTAAACGATACAGTATTAGATGCACGAATAAATGTGTTTCTGTACAGTGTGACACCACATGGAGTTTATCACATCAAAATAATTACAAATCCTCTAGCTCTGAAGTTGCCTCAGCAGACTCGTCTTTAGTTTCGGAACCCGTCTGATGGTCTGAGTAGAACGCGTATCTCATCTCTTGGCTAACCAATTTGGCAAGGTCATGCCTGTTGGCATCTGTATAGGCATCAAGAACGGCTTTGTACAAGGAATGATTTGGCTCTGTCTCTTCATATTTCAGCTGGCTGTATATTCGCTTCACACCTTCAAGCATACCAGCTTTTCCATAGCAACGTACTAGGTTAATATACGTTACAACGTCTGGTTCCAAGTTTTCATCCTGCATTCTCATGAACATGTTCAGAGCCTTGTCGATCTCCCCAGCCGCCCCATAAGCATGTATTGCAACATTACAGAGAAAAGAATCAAGCTTTACATCAGCTTTTGTGAATTTTTCACAGGACTCGAGCGCCAAAGCATGCATACCCACCATAGAGAAGACAGAAGTGATGATAGCTTGCCTAGAGTAAGGTTTCCCTTCATGGTAGGATGACTGTAACTGCGTTACTGCTTCAATGGAAACACCTTTTTTCAATATCGTGAATAATATTTTAAAAGTCCCGATGTCTGGCAAGAGTTTCCGAGTTACCATCTCATGCAATAATTCGCCACATTCCCGTAGCTGCCCGTTAATGGCATAACATGACATTACCTTGTCAAATGAACCGCAGTCCCTCACTAGACCTGACAGTTTCATTTCCTCTGCTATATCAATGGCTTCATCAAGCATGCCCACACTCTTGTAAAGATATATCATGGTCGCATATGTTATCTCATTTGCCCAACCCTTGGCTCTCAGTTTTTCAAAAATCAATTCGGCTTCAGTCACCATCCCACGATCTGCATAGAGATCGATCATGCTGTTAGATGCAACAATATCTAGGGCACCCTCTAGATCTTTCAACTTCTCATAGAGTACTTTCGCTCCATCAAGGGAGTCCACCTTACCATATGCCTTTATGAGGGAAGTAAGAACTATTTGATTTGCAGAAATCCCAGATTCTTCCATGTGCCGAAAATACTTTAATGCTTCCTCAACTCTGCCAGTTTCTACAAATCCGTTGATCAAAGAACCATATACAAATTCATTTGGTTTGACCCCCGAATTTACCAAGTCTTGGTACACATCAACTGCATCAGAAAGCTGGCCAAGGCGAGCACAGCATGCAATAAGAGCAGAGAAGGCTAGAGAGTGCGGCTTAAAACCCATTTCCCGCATTTCAGTTAAAACATCCCTTGCCTGGTCCACTAAATCACCTCCTGAGAACATCTGAATGAGAGAATTATATGTGCAGTTATCGGGCCAAGTCCCATGATTTCTCATGCCTTTGAAGAGAGAAAATGCTTTATCATAAAGCTTTGCCTTGCCATAAGCTTTGATCATGACGTTATACTCCACAACATCCTTCTTCTGTCTTACCAAGTCTTTCTTCCTATAGAATACTGCCTCAGCTTCAGTCCAAAATCTCTTTTCAGCATATGCATCTATAATTGCTGCACATGTCCTTGATGACAGCTCACCATTCAACTGACATTTCTCGTAAAACAACTTTGCCCGAACAAGCTGTCCTTCATTAATATACATCTTGATGACACCAGGAACAGAATGCTCATCGACACGCACACCAGATTTCTCCATATCCTGAATCACATTCTCCACTTCTCGGACCATGTTTCTCTCACATAACACATGAAGAATAGTCCTGTGAGATACAATATCTGGGGAAAGACCCACCTGTCTGATCTTTGTATAACAGTTCAGAGCAGCATCAATGTTCCCCACATCAGCATACAGAGATAGAAAAATGTTATAAGTTC